TAGTTAGACAAATAATGAACAGTATAATTATTATTAGTCAAATGGATCTAAATTGAATAGACGTCGTATAAATAAGTCGAACAAGTAGTATAGATCAATAGATGCTGTATCTACGTTATCAGACAAATAATGTAGATCGAAAAATTCATTTTAGAAACAATCTGAAGAGAGGAAAATCTATCTTCGTGAATAATTTTTCTGATGTAATATCGATTCAAATCATAAGAACCATTACCATGGATGAATTCATAATATATTCCATTGCATATCACTCTACCGCCTTTTATATTCTGATTGTAATATTGATAGATCAATCAAGATTTTTGTAAAATTTTCGATATTTTATAAGAAATGTATCAAAGAAGAGTCGATAGAATTTTTAAAGGCAGTCAATTAATTTGAAGAAAATTGAGAATAAAAATACACGATGCGATTATTGAAAAGTTTGTTAATCATTCTCGATCATTTTTATCGAAATTTGATATTATTAATTAAAATCCGAATGTCTAATTTTATATTATCATTTTCGATGGAATATCAAAGATCATTTTTGTGAAATAATCAAGTTCAAATCATGCAATAAGAAAATTTGAAACTTCCTGTACGGCATAATTTTTAGCTTCGTATTTACGTGTAAAATATTATATTTGCAAAAATGATATTTAATTCATTTAAAAATTATTTATATATGCAAATTAATTTTAATTTTCATGTACATTTAGTAATACTTTTTATCACTAAAAGCTCAAAATTCATCAGATTATTCACAATAAAGAAAATAACTTAATAACAATTTTCTTTCCTTGTTTTAAAACGTTTCATTTATTATTTTAAAATTCTATTAAAATCTTGCTCTCACATAATCAGCTTGCTCAAAAACAAGAACAAGATAATAACGATATAAAAAATTTGTATTTTAATCTCTTAATTGAATAATTTTTTGTTACACTTTTTTAGATTGTTAATTAAAATTTTTTTTTAAAGAAACAAAAAATTTACTCAGAGCATAAAGAACTTTACGGAACACTTGTTCACTTTCAATTAAAACATTGATTGATTTCGCGTTCTCGAGAAAATTTTCGATTTTGAGAAAATTTTTTAAATTCCTATGTGATTCGATATAACAATCGTCTCATTGTGACCATCAGTGTGGCATTTTTTAACAGAATTTCAAAGCGAGAAAATAGCTTAATTAACAAATCAATAAATCAACGCCATTCTTCATAGGTCACGATTTTTAATTGGCAATGCATTTTTTCCCAGAATGTGGAGCAAGGTTAAATGGAGGAGAAAATAGTAGAAATGGTGAACAGGTAGATAATAGGAACGGAAATAAATATTTTAATATATAATTTCATTAAAATTTAAGAATAATTCTTTTTTATTTTTTTAATCTTATTATTAAATTATATATTATAAAAAATATATATATTAAAAATATATATTAGCTTGTGGAAATCATATATTTTTTATGATATATATTTTTTAAAATTTCATTTTTATCATTTCGCGATAGCGATTATTAGTTTCAAAATTTTATATTATAATATTAAAAATTATGATCAATTAGAATTCTTTCTTTTTATAAGCAGGAAAATTTCTATTTATTTATAATGTTAATAAATATAAAGTAGAATAAAAATTCGTAAGAATTAGAAAATTAAATATTAAATAGTCTCTTTGAAGAAAATTCTCACCTTACATACAGTTTTTCATCTTTTGAAGAACGATTCTTCACTCATGATTTTTTTTCAATAATATCATCATTTAAAAGAGCTCACATGCATAAAACACATTCTTGCCACGTGTAATTTAATTTCCACGTGGTATTCATAGCTTGTACGAATTTTATCATTTTTTATATTTTTACATTTCTTAAATTTCTTGAATTCTATGCAACATGCATATATTTCAAACGTTTAACCATTAATATAATATAATCTAATTTCTATTTAATTTTCTCACAAACGTTTTCTCATGAAAAAAAAAGACATTTGCCTAATATATATACAATAATGATGAAATGATGAAAATTAAATCTTTTATTTCATTTGTATGAAATTCCTGACCTGAAAAAAATTCCATATTCTACGATCACGATATATTCGATAGAAGTTATAAATTGAAGATTAGAAGAAATATAGCGTGATAATTTACAGAAATGATGTACGATGTTTTCTGAAATGTCAGATAAGGGACATTAATTAACGGAGTGACATTTATTCTTTGATAACTTTTTTTCAGAAGTTACTTAAAAGAAGAGGTGAGAGTAAGAGGTTTTATTAAGTTTTAACAAAGATTAGATCTAAATCTGGTTTCAAAAATTAATTAATGAGTCTGATAAAGTTTGATAAATTTTGTTTTTGATAAAAATAGGAGATCTGGAGATCTATTTTTAATTCAATCGTCGTTTAAAATAAAGATGATTAATGAGAAATAAAAATAATTTATTGTTTTTACAAATATCGAAAAAAATTTATTTATTCAGATCGTCAATTGTGAAAGAATTCTTTATTATCCACATATTTAAAGTTTTCGTGACTAGGATCCTCGTATTTTTGCGATTTTTCTAGACTATTCAGGCCGATTCTGTTGTTTCAATTTTTTTTACGGATTTTTCGGATTGAATCCGTAACAAAATAACTAAAATGCATTTTCTTTGGCCGCACGATATCAAAGGAAATTAAAAAGTAGTAATAAAAGGATTCATAAAGCAACGAATAAAAAAGAATATCGTCAAACTTCTTTCACGTAGCTGCGTGAAATTATATATTCAAATTTCAATGGAAACTGGAACACGATATGATATAAAACGATGTGATATTTTTCTTATTTTAAAACGATACTAATTGTAGTCTATAAATACCAGGATAGGTTAAATTCGTCGATTCTTAATTTTTAAAATTTGTATAATCACAATTAGAGAAATGAAACTTAAATAAAAATTTGTTTCACCTATCATGACATTTCCTATCTTTTTGCATATTATACATATGCATTTTGTATATTTTTATACATTTAATTTTTCCATAAATGCATGAACATGCGTAATCTATTTGTTAATGTTTTGAAGAATATATATATATATATATATGTATTTACTCTATTTTATTGGTTTTAACGCTTGAATAATGTTGTTTGCACAGGATATTTCAAATTTCATCTTCCAAGTGCATCTCCGCAAGACACATTTTTCGTCCTATTGCAATTTTCCAGTAATTTCTTTCAACTTCCAACTATAAATACGATTTCGTTTGGCTTCATGTGTACACAGATTTGCGGATGACAAATTTAAAAGATTGAATGTATCGATATTTATTTGGTACACAGGTTTCAACGCGAAATTGCGTATAATATTTATACACCGTAAATATTTATATAACTATGAAAATATTCGTTTAAGAGCATTCTCGTGTTAAAAGTAAATAAAATAAAATAGTCAATGATCAATTAGTCCCATTATTTTTACTTTGTTACAAAGAATTTAATATTGAATAACTTTAAAAATTTATCCATAAAGGAACATCTAAAGCTTTCAAGTGAAAAAGCAAAATTTATTCCATAAAAATTAAAATATCCAATACAAAAAAAACTTTGCAATTTTAAATCTCTAGCAAAGCATATATAAATATATATAAATATACATTTACAGTGTCTTCTAAAAATTTTTATAAATCTAAATGGAACAAATAAAGTAATTGTCGAAAGATTAATTTTAGTTTTTTTTTGGGGAGATAGGAGGGATCTTAAAACACAACCATTATGGATAATTTCAACGACTCGTAAAACACGGTTCATCGATCCAATTTGATTTTTTACCATCGATATATTCGACCGGTTAAACACACATTTGCTGATTACAATTTTTAATTATAGATTCCAGAAATAAATGAATTTAGACCAAGAATCGATTTCAAAATCAGAAATTCATCGAATTTTTTAAAAATTAAATAAATTTCACTGAAAATTCAAAACAGTTTCTTCGATGATGTTACGTTAAATCAAAAAGCTTTTTCTGAATACTATTTTTTCGCCTCTTTTTTTTCTCGTATTTTTCTATCTCATTTTTCTTCTCTTTTTCTCCTTCTATATTCTTCTTTTATACCGTGCTGACCTAAATCGTAAAACGCATGTGTATATATGCATTTATTTTGCAGAACGACAAGTAAGTATATAACTGTGTGTAATGTGTAACTTTGAAATCGAAATTCCTTTTTTGGAATGTAATGCTCTACTAACTCATTGAACGGAGTTGTTTGTTTTTGCTTCTACTCTAACTCTCGTTGAAAGAGGGCAAAGGATATAATTAATTGAGAGAAATATTCTTTAGTTGATAAAGATTGAAAGATACCATGGATGGAGTAAAGTTTGGAATTACTAGAATTTGATAATTTCATAATTTAAAATCAAGTTTGTATTTCTGTTATTTTAAAGTATTTTTAGTTTAGAAATTTATCTAATTGAAGAGAAATTATTACTAATATTTTTAAAATTAATTTCGAATTTATAACAAAATTAACAGTAGCTATGCAACTAGAAATTGTTTCCAAACTTTTGATCAGCAATGCAGTGAAAATTGTAAATATGAAATATTACAATTGTTACGTGATATTAAAATTTCTATCTCTGAATTCTGATTTCATAGATATTCGTATTCCAGAAAATTTCCATTCTAAAAATTAATTTTTTGTAATATTATTTTATTTTGAAATCGTACACTTATGTACACTCCATATTTTTTAAGTCCTATTTTATTTTTTAATACGTATATATAATAATACTTAATCGTTGTATTATCTCTTTGTGATCAAAAAAATTTATTTATAATAATTTATAATTTGTATTTCTCATTCCAGAATACTTATTGATCAAATCATATCATTTTTTCCTAGACAAACGAAATTGAATTATAGAGGATCAGAATATAAAATGATTAATCAGATTAGAAAATATAAACTATCTCTTCCAATAATCTTTCTAACAGACTAATTTTATTTCAGGAATTTAACGTCGCCAAGGAGCAGCACGCGGTGCAGCCATGTTCCTCCGTGGTCGTCGAATCAGGTAAAATTTTTTATCCATCTTAATCTTTTTTTTACTCGTCAGAAAATCATTATGGCACGAACATCTTAATCCTCGATAATCTCACCATATCACATCTATTTTCCTTTCAAAATTAGGTACCGATCGATGAAGACACCCCCTTCGAGCGATCTTGTCATCCACGTCACGCTCTAAAACGAAAACCGGAAGTTCATACGCGCTCCAAGTAATCCCTGCCCGTCGCCTCGTATCAAACTTGTGACCGGAACGTGCACGGTTTAACGATTCCCTTTTATTCACATCGAAATTGTAATCCCTAAAATCCATCGTGCAACGCCTTAGAGTTAGTGTTCCATATAAAATGGCAGCATTGCAACGGGTTAGCGCAAAGTGGATTATAGAAATTTACGAGGGATATTAACGAACTTGGTAACGAGGCGATCTCTGGGATGGTCGATTATATTGGGATGATAATTTTTTCGCTGTCGTGTGACGTTGATTAATTAACGCCTTCTTTTTTTTTCTAGGTCATTTTCCTTTAACCGATAGTTAATTTCTTCGTGGCCATAGAATTCGTGAAGTTTGTGAGAAATGAAATGGAAAGAAGACTCGTTATTAATGTATGCATGTCAATTGTACGTGAATGAAAGATTAAAGTCTTTTGTTTGTTGAAACAAGAGCGAGATTGAAACGTAAAACGTTCGAGGACTCTAGGAAAATTAATCATTTCTGCAGTAAAGCATCTCACGATATAGCAAAAATATTTTTATGTTCTTAATTTTCAATATGTACGTAAAAAGAAAAAGTTGAAAGAATGTTGATTCTCCTCTTTGCATCCATGATCGAAACACGGATTAATTTTTATTCGAATCTATGGACGAAATATCTCGCGTTTTGATATAAAAAAATTCTCATAGAGGCAATAAAATTAATTTTAATTCGAAACAGGAAGTTTGCCGCATCAAAGTCGAAGCTATCCAGGTGGTACCAGTGGATCTGGAAGCACAGGACGATTGTTCACAAGGAATTCATCGGTAAGCTCGCAGAGCTCGTTAGAAGGACCATCTGGACCATCTGGACCATCTGGATCATCTGGACCATCTGGACCATCTTCCAGCCACCGTAGTACCACTACGACGCAGATTCGATCGTTTGGACCTGATGGACGATATCATCATCGTCCCGATCCCTTGCATGCTGCTTCGTCTTATCCACCGAGCAGAAGTTCGAGGTAAAAAAAAAGTTCAAAATTTTAATTAACAAACTAAAAACTATTTGAAAATGACGTGGAAATGTTTAATTTTAATTTCATTCATATCATATAATCCTGCGCATTAAATTATTCAACTTTAAAATAATCTTAAGATGATCTTGGAATGATCCTGAAAAATTTTTACTTTATATTATTATATATAAGGTCTTTAAAAAACCTTCTATTTTTTTTATATCTATTATTTTTAAAAAGTTATTTTAATGGATGCAAATAAATATCCTGTATAATATAGAAGAGAATAATTCCTTTATTAAATAAATATTCGAGCTTTCATCGAATCATTTATGAAGTTTTGTTAATTGCTCAGGAATTGCTCTAGCATGGTAGATTACGGAACTTTACTAAACTTATAATTTGGCAAAGTGATCCTTACGAAAGTTTTACAAATTCTTGAAAAATAATCGAACTTTATTATCATAAAATACAGTTAAACCATAAAATAAAATATAACAAAATATAAAAAGGAAAAATATCAGACAAAAATATATTAAATGAAAGATATCAATCGTATTTTGTTATCACATGGATTATCGAGATATTTCAAATCCAAAATATACCTATTTTTCCTTCATATTTCATCACGATAGAATTAATAGATACATTAACAATCATTTAAAGATACATTTCATTAATCATTGATTGGAAATCATTCATCGTACTTACTATTATATTATTTCTAATTTTGTTATGTAATAGAGAAAAATTGAAATGCACCTTGCACTCGATTCCTAAACGCACAGATCGCCATCACCTGGTCGTACTGCATCGCTAGATGCACGCTGTGGGAGTCCAGCCAGTTGTTCCGGAAGTCTTGTGAGCAGTAATGCATCACCATCTCAGAGCTCTCTGTCGTCTTTGGCAACAGGTGTGAGCTCTTCTTGTGGTGGTTCCTCGATAAACGTTGCCCACGGAGCTTCCAGATCAGCTGGCCGAAGTCTTTCACCCCTTCTTATTCCACCATCACGCATTGCCGGAAGGTGAGGCATTCTTCATCATTTCGTTATCCATATAAAAATCGTTATTATTAATATTTAAGAGTAAAATTTTTAAGAATTGATTTTGCAAATATTTTTTGCAAATGGATACTGTAAAAATGAGAATGTTAGAGAAGAGAATAATTTCCACTTTTGATGCAATATCCTCTATGAAAGATAAATCTTAAGAAATATTTATTCTTAAATATATCCTAACTTCTATAAATATTTCTAATTTCTATAAAACATATGTCATTTAACATATGAAATATAATCATAAAAAGTTATTTAGTAACTGATGAATAAAGAGAAAATTTTTGTTCTCCCTTTCATTCATTCACTCCCTTTCATTTCTCATATTTTCATTCGAAAAAATGTTTATCGCACGGATTATTTTTAATCTTTAATTCTTGAACGTAATACTTTTTTTATGTAACAGTGACGGTGGACCACCTCCTCCAGCTTCACCATTGGGTTCTATACAACCTGACCTCTACCAACGAAGAGATGGCCCTATTTATCTCAAAGCTCGAGGGTACCTGCAATATTTTTTCATTTAATATATATTTTGCTCGTAAATATTCGTTACTTTCTTTTATCTTAATCAACGAATCATCCGTTAATAATAAAATTTCTTAAATATTCGAAAAACTTTATTGTTAATCAAATTTAAATACACAACTAATACATTATGATCGTGATCAAACACAATTCCTACAATATGAAAGAAAGTATTATACTATTTTAAATATTTGCTTTCTTTCCTTATCTCAATGTAACGAGTCACGGATATCAATCAGAAAATCTATTGAATATTCAAATAGTCTTACTAACTTTATCGGTCAATAAAATTTACATAAAATCGTGTAAGAAAGAAATCAGACACGATTTCTTGAATATCAGAAAAAAACAATATTTTGTTTTATCTCAATTCTTATATCGAATATTTATAAAATAAAAATTATTTCAAATTGATAAAAATTTTAAAAGCATGTATTGATCCAATAATAATAAATAACAATTTAATTTGCCATTTTACACTTTCTATTTTATCTCTAGAAATTTTAAAATTTCTGGAACACATATATGCTAATATTATGTCAACTCGTGATATTACATTTTTCGAAAAATCATTTTTCAAAAAAATATCGAAAACAATCGTGATCACAATCGTAATATTTTATTCGTTACGATAATATAGATTCTCTAACGTTTTATTATTTATCATTCATGTTTAATACATATTTTATTTTCGATCGAACGTAACTTTGGTTTACTTCGAAGAGATATTATTCGATGACCTACATGTCGATCCATTTCCTCCTTGTACACGCATAGCATCTAAAAGGATTGAATTACTGGATATATGGTAATTGGATACGAAAGCCATCCATTTTATTTGATCAGATTTTTAAACCAGAGACACGCAGACGATTAATCTTCCGATTAATAGAAAAGAATATATTTCGTATTTCCTCGTCTATTAACTGAAATGTAAAATATATATATAATTAAGCAATGCGTACACATAAATTCGTATTTATTATGAAATATACGTACACAACGATTAAACAAAAATAACCGTTTGATTTAACGTAATTATTAACCGATTAATTTAGCGTAATTATTACACAACATTATCGATTCGAGATAGAAAAAGAAAAAAAACATACAATTTCACATTCTATTTGATTTTATCTGTTAAAATTACTCTTTCATCAAATGAAATTTTTTATAATTTTTATTGAAATGATGATGCGATAAATCTTACAATTGAGAAAAGAACATTTATATAAATTACGAAAGATACGTAATTTCATACAATAGTAAACCAATTTTTTGTATTATTGAAAAAATAAATGAAATTCTATTGTATAAAAGAAGTTATATTATTCATAAAATTATTTGTATTATGATATAATTGATTATATATATTATTATATACATTTTATATATAATTACATCGATGTAATTTATAATTAAAATTAAAATATAAATAAAAGCTTTTCTATTTTCGAAACATTGAATGTTACGTTCATTATAATATCAATAGAAAATCGACTAACATGTATCGTGTTGATTGTAATTTCAGAAATGGAAAGAGTTTAGGCCGGCTGCATTTGCGATTCAAATACGACTTCGATCGATCGGATTTGCATGTACACCTGATCGAGGCGCACGATCTGGCTGGAAGTGATCAAGGAGGATTCAACGATCCTTACGTGAAACTGATGCTCAATCCTGAAGTGGATTCGAGGAAACGACAAACACAGATATACCGTAACGAGTCGAATCCGTTCTTCGATCAACAATTCAAATTCCCTGTCAGTAACGACGAACTTCAGGACAGGACTTTAGTTTTACAGGCAATCAAGCATTATTAACTGTATCGTTAATTTTTCTCTCTTTCATTTTGTGTATCTTTTCATAAACAAAATTCAAAGTGTAATGATTTTTAATGATTGATTTTTTAATTAATTTTATTTATATTCTTCTATTTTATTTCTTAATAAAAATTGTTATTATATACTTTTATACAAACGAGATTCTGTTCAAAATGAAATTTTTAATGATTATTTTATTTTATTTATTTAATTAAATAATTTTTTGATCTTATCGAATATAGAATAAATATGTAAATAAATATTAAGATTTCTTATCAACGAAAACTTTCGATACTATTTAATAAGAATTATTTTAAAAAATAACATCTTGTTAATTATTTATTACGATATGAATTATAAATATTTGTTAAATTATAACGTAGAAAGAAATAATTATTTTTTCAATGTTAAAAAAAATAAAACTATTCTTATTTAATAGGTGCTCGATTACGATCGTTTCTCTAGAAACGATATAGTGGGATCTGTAAAGATACCACTACATATTTTACGATTGGATTCACCTACCTCTACCGAAGAAGTTTGGGGAGAGATTGAACGCGAACGAAAGCCACCTGAACAAATTCAAGAAGTTCTATTATCCCTTTCTTATCTTCCAAGCGCCGAACGATTAACAGTTCAAATTTTGAAAGCGAGAAATTTATTTCCACCGCAGGTAATAATAATCAATTTTCAATTTACACAATTTTATTTATCTGTATATATGTTTTAATAATCATCGAAGAAAGAATATTCATTTCAGTTTTTCAATTTTTCCATTTACATTTAATAGTTCATTTTGATTTGTATGGCTATTGAAAAAAGCATAAGGTTACATTACACTACCGTTATAATTTCGTATAATTCCAATTAATAATTTTTGTTTCTTTTGATTTATTTGTTTTTCTTCCAAATGAAAATTGATGTTTATCTTTCTGTATAACAAAGAAAACATTTATAAATATATTAATTACAAGTTTTACAATTTAATTATACTTCACAGGACAAAGAAACCTTAGATTCATTCGTGAAAGTAAATCTTCTTTGCGGCGAAAAAAGGGTAAAAAAAAGAAAACCGCTGTAAGAAAAGCTACGACAAGCCCTGTTTGGAACGAGGCGATGTCTTTTAATGTTCCTGCCAACTATCTCGCATCATCAGCTATCGAGGTAAATACATAACTTTTTTTCTTTCTTTATAACAATCATAATATCATATACCAAATAATAATAAATAAACCGATTGTCATTATGAAAAGTGTGTCAAAATGTTTTATGCGAGAAAATCAAATATCGATTTTCATTGAGAAATGTGATTTAACTTGAACTTGTTTTAAAACTATAATATTTCTTTTCACACTTGTTATTTTTCTATATTCTATTGGAAGACAAAATATGAAATCAAATCAAATTATTAAATTGAAATAAATGGAATAGTAAAATAATAGGAAAAAAATAATGAAATTAATAAAATAATAAAATTTCTTTTTACATGGATTTGATTATTAAATTAAATTCAATTGGTCGTAATTTTTACATGAATCACTCTCATTAAGAAATAACCTTTGTATCATATATAATTAACTTCAAAATAGTTAATATTGAATTTAAAATAAAAGCTTCGTTTTTTATATAATCAAATTATAACAGCTTTATGTTTTTAAAATATTATTTAAATTAATTAACGATTCGTAAATTGCGAATGAATAACAAATTTCTATAAAGATGAACATATGAGTCATATTATATAGTAACAAGAGAGAAAAATCAATATTTTCATTGCTATGAGAAAAATTTAATTTTCAAATTTTATATTGTTGAATGTAGCTCACCTCTTTTTCACTTTTTCCCACTTGTTAGAAATCTTTCAGGAAATTAAAAATATCAAATTATAAATATCACATTAAAATCAAATATACTTTCATTTGTTATTATATACGCTCAAAAAATTAAAATTCTTCAATAATTAGCGATATACAGTATAGTATAGTACAGTATAGTATATTTTTTTTATTCAAACGTTATATCAAAAGGTACAATAACTATGTAAATACATTATTTATTTTTTAATAAATAATATTCAAATAAAATAAAAATTTTTTTAAAAAATTGTAAAAAATTGATTTGTATTTGTATTATAATTACAGTTATAAATTGTAAAATAAATATTTATTTTTAAATATGATTTTTAACCATATAAAAAACAAAATATTTCAAATTCAAAATTTCTTATTTCTACAATAAATCATACAATAAATCTATCTCTGAAATAGAATATATAAAAAAAAGAATTTCTGATGTCATTTCTATGATACGCGATATAATATATGTCGCAACTTGAGAACACGCAATTCGTCGACTGTAAACGAGTTCTATCGATTACAAGTTATCGATTTGCAAGAATCGCCTACAAAACTCCGTAACAATTTTGAAGCAACCAGTTCCACATGGAGTTGAAGATTAATAGAAATGTTAATTTTTATTTGTCCATAAATTCCTAACAAGATTTATTAAGTGAAATTTTAAACATAATATTAAATCTTTAAAATTTCATGAAATTATTAAATTTATGTAAAAAAAAATAATGAAGGAAAAAATTTTAAGAAAATCTTTAAAACTTTTTATAACCTCAATATTTTACCTCAATATTACCAAATAATGATTTCAAAAATAAAGATTGCAAGTATAATACATAAATATATCTTATTGAATGAAAAATATAATTCTGCAGCATCGTAACGACATTAAATTTTTCATTTTCATTTTAGTTTCATGCTAATAAAAAAAAGCAAAACGTATTCTTGTTGCTAAAAATTGACATTGAATATCATGATACATTGAAATCGCGTGCTTGCATAGTGGAATTATAGAATATCGATCGCGATCATCGAATATTTTATCATGAAAGAAATTTATTTTAAATTAAAAAACGAAAAAGATATTAATGACAAACTTTAGTAAAACGACAGAACTGAATATCAGTGAATGAATTTCACAAATATCCTTGAATAAAATATTGACATGAAATGAATATTTACAGTAGTTTGCAAATATTTTAAATCAAAAAATCGATCCATATCATCATGAAACAAAAATTTCTAATTGATAATTTGATCATTTGTATAATTATATTTCAGTATAAAATCTTTTAAATTTGTAGAATACATAAATACAATTAAATAATATTTATATATCTATACATATGAAAAAAATTTCATTATTTTAACTTTCTATTTTTTCTATTTTTTTATTTATTTATTTTATTCCTACAATTCAGTTTCGATATTAAAATATACAAATGAACAATGATTACTATAAATTATATATTAGATGAAAGTTTATTATCGTAATTAATAGAAAAGTCATCATATATTTAGACAGATTAAATAGATTAAACTTAATAATCAAATTGTAAAATTCTACATATATTAATCAGTTTGATTAAAAAATTTTCTAGTTATAAAAATTAAAATCTCTTTATATAATCTATTTATATAAAAAATATTTTTATTATGTATAAAAAAAATATGAAAGCATTATTAAGCATAATAAACGAAAATTAACAAAATTATTAAAATAATTCTTTTGTAAGGTATGTGTGATGGATTCAAGCAATGAGTTTATCGGCGGAAACGTGATTGTTGGTTCCTGTATCGTTGGTCCTGCCACAGGAGTCATTCGTGGAGTGGAAGGAAGTGGAAGTCAAGGAAGAGAACATTGGCTTCACATGACTCAATCGCCAAGGAAAACCATCGATATGTGGCATACATTGCATTAAAAAGAAAAAGAAAAAAAATTATCAATCGATGTTTTATTCGTCATGTATTGTTTTCAGAAACGAAACGTGATCATTTTGTCATTTTGAAAATATGAATACATTTCTTTTTTTTCTTTTTCTTTCTTTTTCATTTTGTTGTTGTTTTGTCGGATTATAGAAGAAGGATACAATCAGACAACAATATAAATAATCGGTATATGGTATATATGAACAACAGTAATGTTACATATATGAAATCGTTTTTATGGATATATTCAAAATCACTAACAAATAAAAAAATCGCAAAAAAGCATTGTCGCTATCTATTCCAGCGATTTATAAGAATCCCTGAATCCTCGTGAACTGTTAATATTTTGTTATTACCAAATTTTCTCTAAATTTTTCAAATCGTCAATTGATTGATCTAGGCAAAAAGATATTATAACAGAATATTTCATTTATTTATTTAAAAGTGTTGCACTAAGTGAAAAAATATTTTAAAGTGAAAGAGAATTTGCCTACGAAGAAGGAGACAATCGTTTCATGTATACACTATATACGTATATACACTATATACACATACATGTTGTATTTATATAAATCATTTATTTCTACTGGCGGCTAAATGTACCTAAATATCAGAAAGATAATTATTCTATTCGCGATGATGAATATACATGATAGTAAATAATTATATTTCAAACAATAAAAACTTTTCGTTACAGAATATATCATGAAATTATTTCTTTGAAATAATTAAAATCATTTCTTTGAAATAATTTCAAGATAAGACAAATGATACTAATTTAAACTATAAAAATATTACTGATAGAAAAAAGAAAATATGAAAAAAAGATAAATAATATGAGTAATGATGTTTTAATATGTGATTTTTATTAAAGTCTGAAATCACTGCAGAAATGAGATATATATATGTACTTCCTAGGCCTAAATTTGTACTATGCAACAAAACTGACCTCAGAGAAGTACAAGGCATGCATCATGCATATTATATAGTTTACATAAACAAATTAAAAGCCTAATGAAAACGATTCTCCTTCGATAAATACATATAGTCGCGTTATTGTTATTAATGTCGTAATTATTTATGAATATATAAGCAGCAACAAAAAATGCAAAAAGAAAATTACGTGATATCATATAATGTTTATTCAAATATGGATATAAATGCATAAACATTTGCAAATAATAAAACGTATTATACAGATATACCATATCTGATATCTTTCAATATACCATTGAATAATAGAATATACAATTCTTGATTTATTAAATTCTTTTTTCACATTTTTGCTAGGGCATAGAACGCCATTGAAGAATAGAAAGAAGAATAATATATAATAATAAAATAGGAAGAAATCAAATTCTGTGTAAATTAAAATAACAAAGTCTGATTTATATGAATGAGAAAGAAGAAACAAAAATCAAATGAAAATGTGAACATTTCCGACCAAAGTTTATCATATCATATATACTGATAATTTTGAAAATTCCAGAGCTTAGATCTATTTAATGTTAATTTAAGAGAATTCGATTAAGGAACCTGCCGTATTAATAAATATTTTAGATTCATACATCGTGTACTACAGCGATTAAATGTTTTTGATTCGTTAGCTGAAACGTTACCTGATGAAAAGAAAAAATAAAAATTATATGTTGATTATCATTAAGTATATTATAAGTATGAATATATGTTATATAAAAATATAATGATATATAACTACGTGAAACGTAACAATTGGAAAAATAGAAAGAAAGTTTGTTGGGAAGAAACGCTTAATTAATTATGAGCGTGGTCCGAATCGTACGCTTAACTTATACTTAACAGTATTTCTATTATACATATATATCTCGCGTATCTTTGGTGATACGTAGTATTTATATTAAAAGACATATATATATATATATACATATAAAGATGTTCTTATATGTATACCATCGTCTTAAAACAATCATTTTGGGTGTCTAATACAGTACACGCTTTTAACATTCCAACGTACTTGTAATAGTTGTAACGATACGTAATGACTATATAAATTTCGTGTTTCTGCATTCACTATAAATAATGAACAACATTCTGTAAACACCATATTTGTATCGTATTTCTACCATAAATTTTCATGCGCCAATTTCAAAAATGATCTCATATATACATTAATTAATTCAGCTACTTTTTACATAAATAGACACCCTGTTGTTGGACCTGAATTTGCCTTGCATAATATGATTAAACTAAATGGAAATGCTCTATCTATCCCTAATGATTGATCTATTTATAATGATAGCAGTGAAACTATGATAATTGTACAAATACATAATTGAAAAATGAAATGAAATTTAAGATATTATGAGACGATTGATAAGCAAGGCAGAGAAATAGTTTCCACAACTGGTTTTCTGAATATTTTGAGAATATCTCTTGTCTTATTAAAGAATGTAAAATGTATCTTAAATGTGAAGTGTAATCAATATTTTCTTGTAATGTATCCTCATAATTCGATTTAAAATAAAGAATTACTTATTTCTGTCAGATTATATATTTCATATTGTTTATGTATACAAAAAAAAAGTAGAATGTAATTTAAAAGAAATTTTAAACATTTGTAAGAATAGTATACATCTTATGGTTTTTATTTACATTTTGTTTTGTCACGAATTTCAAATTATTCCATATTATTAAATATATATTACTATTACAAATATTATTTCTTTTCTACAATAAATAATATAAAACATTTCAAATTTTTTATTTATATGTACCATGAGATCAAACTATAATATATATTTTCTGCATTTGATGAAATTATAGGTCCATTCAAAATAATATTAAAATGCAGAATTCAGATTTTTTGTTAAATTATCTGTTGAAAGATCAACAAAATCTTTTGCACCTTTGCGTCGTATTGATAACGCAATACTTGCACCATTTTTATACCATTTGACTTTCACCAATACACAACATCCTATTTCTATATAAAGCATAGTACTTTATTATAATCTGAAAATTAATTTATTTCATGGTTTAATAAATAAATTCACATACCAAGTTGGCCTCGTTCATGTGCCGCAGCTAATTGATTAACAACACGTCTTTCTACTTCATATTTAATAGAACGTGCTCCATAATGAGTATCGTATCCTTCAGCCAATAATGACAAAACTTCTCTATTCCATTTCAATTCTATTTTATGTCTTTTTTTTGCACGATCTGCCCAAGCTTCCAATTCTTTAGCAACTAATTTTATAAGTTCAGATTGAGAAAATGGTAAAAAATATACAATCTCATTTATTCTGCCTAAAAATTCATCTCTACCAAAATGTGCTTTCAATATTGGTCTTACCTATAAAATAAAAGATTTAATTATAATTAATTTTTAATTATCATAATTTTATTTCATAGAGAAATTAATATACATATTAATATAAGAGAAATTAATATACCACTTCATCCTTAAATTTACGAGATATTTCAATTTGTTCAGAATCCTCTTCTACATCACAATTTATATCCTGTTTTTTCTCAACACGTTGAGCTTCTTCTCTAAGTTGTACTGCATGATCAGCAATTACTTCGCTTGCTAAATTAGATGTCATTACAAAAATTGCATTTTTACACTCAATGGTTTTACCTTTACCATCAGTAAGTCTTCCCTAAAAAAATTTTAATTTTCATTTTGATATAATATTTGTAAATATCCAGTAAAATATTTTTCAGAAATAATCATACTTCATCAAACAATTGTAATAAGACAGTAAGTACATCAGGATGAGCTTTATCAACTTCATCAAATAATACAACAGCATTTGGACATTTTCTTAAAAGTTTTGTTAATTGTCCACCATCATCATGGCCTACATACCTAATTAATACAATGAAATAAAATAATATTTAAATATTTATTATATAAATAAAAATATATATCATATTATATGATATAAATTTATAAATAAAGATGTGATACATAATGATATAATAGTATATAATGATATAATGATATAATGATATAATGGTACATAATGATACCCTGGTGGTGCACCAATCAATTTAGCAACTTCATGTTTTTCTTGATATTCAGACATATCCAATCGAATAAATCCTTCCTGCTTATTTTTATGAATGTATGCAGCCAATTGTTTAGCCAGTTCAGTTTTTCCAATTCCTGATGAACCCAAAAAAAGAAATACTAGAGGATGTTTTTCATCTATCCATCCATTTTCTTTTCTTCTAATAGCTGCAATTATAAAAAGTATTACAAAATATGTCTTTGCATTATCAATTAATAATTTTATAAAAAAAATATTACTAGATGCAACAATAGATATTGCTCCAGCTTGTCCAACAATGTATTGTTTTAAACGTTGCTCTAATGGAAACCTACGACGTTCTTCTATTTCCTGTTTACAATATCAGGTAAAAACATAGATCAAAAATAGTACTAAATATAAATCAAAGCTTGATTTTAATCATATGTACTTTTTCCTTCATTATTTCATCATATTTTATAGCACGTTTTATAAGCATTTCTTTGAGTTCTCCATCTTTAGCATATTCTACTGCTCGATGTCCTGATTCATTTTTCATTGTTGGATCAGCTCCTGCTTCTAATAAAGCTTGTACACAAGCCTTAGAATCTGCTAATACAGCATAATGTAATGGAGTAAAACCTTTAAATGTAGCTCTACTATTCAAATGATCACAAAATTCTTCCTCTCTTATCATAAGCACTAAAAATTTGTAAAATTTATGCAATCCTTGTAAAATATTAATTTATAAAAACAAACACTTATTATATTTTTAATAAATTATAATTCAAATTTAAATCTTTTATACCATCCAAAGTATGTAATCCTTTTTCTATAGCACTTCCATAGACATTAATAAATTCATCTTGAGCATTAACATCAGCACCATACTTTAATAAAAGTTTAACAACTTCTGGTTGTGAATTAATAGCAGCAAGATGTAGTGCTGTCCAACCCAATAAATGACGTGTATTTATATCAATGCCTTCTTTTATAATCTATAAAAAAATATTTTGTTAATTATTAATGTAATATAAAATGATTTTTTATACTTACACTTTTTAATTCTGGAATGTTGCCATATTTTACAGCCCGAAAAAACTGTTTATCTATTAAAAAATATTGATTAGAAGTGAATATTTTATATAATAATTATATAATAATTATATATTAATTACTAATTCATAATAAAAGTATTACCTCTATAATTTTTTGCTTCGCAAAGAGTTATAGTTATGCCAATACCACTTAATAGAAATCCCAATTTTTTACTACTTTTTTCATAATTAATATTATATTTATTCGATAATATTTTTATTCTTGTTAATAAAGGATGAATTTCCTTGGACTTAAGCATATCCAAAAATCTATATAATGGATAAATATATTTTTCAAATTTCCAATGAAATTGGGCATAACCTCTACTATTTTGATACAGTACAGCTTTTATTTTATCTGTTATTTTTATATTTTTATTGCTTATTAAAATCGTTGAATATTTAGCCTCTTTTATAATCGAATAAAATTGTAAATTACACAAACGTGACATTTTATATATGTAGATTTTATAGACTAATGTGCTTAAACCATATGATTTTATCTTATACGATTATACATATCTAATACTTATTACTAATACATAGACATATAAATTCATTGAATAATTGCCAATAGTTAATAATCATGCAATAACACAATTTATGTTATATTTACGTTTTTAATAGTTTTATTTTGAGATTATATACTTTAAATGACGCTTTTGTACATTACGGAATACATCACGTAATAAGCATTTTAGGAAACTGCATTGATATAAGATAATGAAGTTCTTTTATTTTAATCATATAAATACAATCATATACGCAACAATTTAAATATTTATAAACTATATTTAGTATATATGTAAAATGTAAAAAAAATAAAAATACAATTATATTAAAAATTATTTTTTCACATTGTATATATAT